CTTCTCTAAAAGAGGAAGAATATGCTGTTAACATATCTTCCAGCTTCAAAGGCCCGTTAGCATTTTTTTATTGGTCGAAAATTTGTGGCCTTTCACTTACAAATTAGCATCATTATTTCTCAATAAAAAAAGATTGTTACATATCAAAACCACAGCTAGAATTTTTTTTCCTCAACCTCTTCCCAATGACCTGGTCACATAGGGTGAAACATAAAGCCAGAGCTCAATTTTTCATGTGAATGGGTGCCTTAAGACAAAGATAGAAGAGATCCCTAGAGTGTGGTCTTAACAGCCTCCTGGTCTACACTTCCTCTTCCTCACAGAGAAGCTGCCAAACAACAAGAACAACAGTTACCTGAACTATGATTATACAAAAGAAAGAAAGAAAGAGAGAGAGAGAGAGAGAAGAGGGAGGAAGGGAGGGAGGGAGGGAGGGAGGGAAGAAGGGAGGGAGGAAGGAAGGAAGGAAGGAAGGAAGGAAGGAAGGAAGGAAGGAAGGAAGGAAGGAAGGAAGGAAGGAAGGAAAAGAGGGAGGGAGGGAGGGAGGGAGGAAAGGAGGGAGGAAGAATGGAAGGAGGGAGGAAGGATGGAAGGAAGGAAGGAAGGAAGGAAGGAAGGAAGGAAGGAAGGAAGGAGAGAAAGAAGGAAAAAAGGAAGAATGAATTCTTGGGTTTTTCTTAGTTCTGGACAGAAGTCTTCATCTGAGTCTGCCAATCCCTCTCACCCACCTAGTATAAAGAGAAATTCCCTAAAATCCCTTGTCACACTTTCCCCTGACCTGCCTGAGCAGCTGACTGCTTGGAGAATGACTGTCCATGTTCTCCAAAAAAATCCTCCATGTACTTTGGCTACTGATTCTCCAACTTCCTCTGGAGCTGCACTCAGTCAAAGCTATAGTCCCCTCTATGATCGGCACAGTCCTAATGCCTCTTTCCCTGGAATAAGTTCTAAGCCAGAAACAATGGGGAAACATGAAGGAGCAAATACTTGTGTGATAAGACAAGTTTTCGTCAGTCTCTTCTTCATCCAAAATTCTGAACAGCTGCTTACAATGAGCAAAATTCACTGAATTCTTCATTTATTGTTTCACAATATATGTAGGCTACTGATTCACCTAGTTACCAGAAGCAAAACACGATTTTGAGGGGCTTCTGTTAATCCAACTGGGAATGGGGAGGGGGGGGCGGGAAAGAGGTGGGGTGGGGAAAACCTACTTCTATAAGGCAGGACTTGCTTACTACGTGATCCAGCAGAAAGTGGACTGAACAAACAGCCAGGAGACCAGGGATTGAGTTCTAGTTCTAGTTTAGTAGTTTTAAAATAGAATAATTTCCTATAAATATTTGTCAGTGTGTGAAGTAGGGTGGGTTCAAGTCCTGACACATACTGACTGAGTGACCTTGGGCAACCCACGGGACATCTCAGTGCTCTAGGCAACTAAAGCTTTAAGTTGTGATAGAAGGTGCCAGCCTACACTGGTAGAGGGAGTTTCCTCACCAGGGGTTCCTTCCTTCTTACTAAAGAACTCACAGGTCCAGTCTTTATCCTAGTTGGTCAGGATATGCACATAGATAGAAGATAGGTAGGTAGATAGATATGTTCCTTTAAAGACATTGCATTTAACAGCTACAATCTATATTCTTGGTTGGCCTATATTTGGATCAATTGTCAATAAACATTAATTAAGCACCTACTATGTGCCAGGCACTGTCCTAAGCCCTGGAGATACAAATAAGAAAAGGAAAGAAAGTCCTTTTCCTCAAGGAGCTTACAAATGAATGGCAGAAGACAATCCGCAAAAGGAAACTGGAAGGTTGGGGAGGCAGGGAGGCAATGCTGGGGGGTACCTGGCACTTGGAGTTGTGATGGTTGGCACAGGTATGTGATGTTCATGGAGCGGAAACCGAGCAGAGCAGCTGGTAGAAAATCTATAGCAGTAGATAGAGCCTATGCTGCTACTTCTTCCAACCAAATTTTGTTCCTTTAATTGAGAATTCCTTACTCTCATTAAGGGCTGAGGACATGAAAAAGGCATTTAAAAGCAACAATGATAGTAAACTTATATCAACAATGTGTTTGGGGACTAAAAGAATCAACTCGACTGTAATTTATGATTTTTGCAGACTGCAGATCATCCCTTAGCATGATAACCTATATTTCATACTGTCCACATTGATTCTCCATACAAGTGCCAAAATTCTTCCTTCTGAAAGCCAGAACCACACCACTGCCAGGTCTCTCCCTGAAACAAAAAACTTCCATTCTATAAATGAGCAAATGAATGAATGAAACAGCACTTATTAAGTACTACTAAGGGTCAAACATGACTATAAGAGGCCAGCTAGGTGGTTTCGTGAATAGAGTGCTGGAGGCCTGAAGTCAGGAAGACTCATCTTCCTGAGTTCAAAATCTGGCCTCAGACACGCACTAGCTAGGTGACCCTGGGAAAGTCATTTAACCCTGGTTGCCTCAGTTTCCTCACCTATAAAACAAGCTGGAGAAGGAATTTACAAACCACTCCAGTATCTTTGCCAAGAAAACCCCAAATGGAGTCATGAAAAGTCAGACATGCCTGAGCAACACCACAACAAAAATAAATGAGTCAAACACTAGGTTAAGTGTTGAGGATATAAACACAAAAGCAAAGTTGTGCATAATAGATTTGCCATTTCATATGCAATCATCTTTTTTCCATTCTATGTTCCAGAAATACTAGTTCAGAATCAAATACAATTTTAAAAAATAATGAAAATAATTAAAGAATTAGCCTTAAAAAAATTTAAATTCCCTGACTTCTGCCTTTAACCATACTAGTTGTAATCAAACCACTGTGCTTACATCACCCTGGGTAGACTTCCTTGAAAAGCTTTCCTCTTATAGCCTATGGGGATGTCTGGGTTTATTTTTAAGGATGAGAGAAAGCTGGGAACATTGTTATGCAATGGGGTAGGAGCTAGCAAACAGGAGATATTGAAGACAAGAGAGGAGTAAGGAGTGAAGGGTCAAGCTCCAAGACAGCACAGGTAGAGGGGCGGTGGAAAGAGAAGAGTGACTCTTTGACAGGGTCTTGAGCAAAGGAAGAAAGAATAGGGGAGAATGCAGATAATTTTTTGAAGTATGGTGTAAAGGAGAAAAGAGGGGAAGAAAGCAAGTGAATTATTTTCCCCCTCACATTGGGGGTTGGGGCTGGGGAAATAGTGTGGAGAGCAATGTATTTCAAGTTAGAAGAACTGTCTCTTTTTTTCTCTTAAGCAAATAAAAACAGGAGCTGGTTGGGCATCTTGGCCCTGCAGCTTTCTGCCTATGTGACCTTGAGCAAATCGCTTCAACTCTCAGTATCTCTGTTTCCTCATCTTTAAAATGAGGAAGTTGGATGAGATCAGAGGTTCTCTCCCTGGGTTCTGTAAACTTGTTAGGTTTCTTTTTTATATTTTGATAACTATATTTCAATATGAGTGACTTCCTTTGTAATACTAAACATTTTATTCTAAGCATTTAGAAACATGATTCTGAGAAGTGATTCAGAGACTTCACCAGACTGCTGGAGGCATCCATGATACAAAAAAAAGTCAAGAACGTCTGAATGCCTGCACTAGGTGATCCTGAAAAGTTTCTTCCTGCTTTAAATCCTATAGTGATTACATCTTTAGAGACCACTCAAAAGCCTTGGCAATTCTGTGGAGGGACTCCATAGCCAGGACCTTAGAAGCACTACAAATGTTCATTAGTTCATCGTTTGTCCTTTCTTGAAGAGGACCATGACATCAGGAAGGTGATGTCATGACATGCAAGTGAATTGGATTTAAGTGAGGCAGAGATGTTCAAAGACATCAGCATAACTCTCTCCTCCAGAGCCATCTAGGTCCAGTGGCAAGATATAGATCAGGATGACTAGAGATGGCCCTTGATGCATCGAGAGACCTTGGCCTTTTTAAGCTAAGATCTTTCCCAGGTCTCAGTTTGATTGGAAATGAGGCATAGTCAATTTTTTTTTTACCTACCCCCTACAAAAACAAAGAAGTAAAATAAATCTGGGAGGGGAAGACCTTCAGGGTTTCTGGCTAAAACAGAAACAATTGCTACTTACACTCACTCTGAGCCATCAGAGCCCAAACCATGATCAAGTGAGGCTTAGGCTGGGACCTATTATTGGCCAATACATGAGAGCCAGAGTGAACTGAGTTTAAGGCATGGTCCTTAAAAAAGAAATCAAGTGGCACAGCTAGGCCACAGTGGATAGAGCACTGGCCCTGAAGTCAGGAGGACCTGAGTTCAAATCTGGCCTCAGACCAAACACTTGACACTTACTAGCTGTGTGACCCTGGGCAAGTCACTTAACCCCAATTGCCTAAAAGCAAAAAAAAAGAAAAGGAAAGAAAAAAAGAAATCAAGTTCATAAACCCCAAGATATCTTGTGAGGTTTCCATTTGGCCAGAGCATCACCTTTCTAATATCATCATCTTCTTCAAGAACGAAGGCCAAACACGATCTGTGAGTAGTAGTAGTCGTCTCCACTGGGGACCCAAGTGGCCAGTTCCAGTTGGACAACTCCAACAGTTCCCTCCAGCTGCTTTCTCCCTCTGCCCCTCCTTCCCTTCTTCCTTCTTTCCCTCCATCTCTCCCCTGCCTACCTCTTCTCCCTCTGTCCACATAGGGAATTCGTATGATAAGTGTAGTCCCAACTCGAACGCTGACAAAGGGCTCTTGAGCCAAATCAAGCTCCCTGGTTTAAAGGGAAATTAGGCCACTTGTCACTTCTTCAACTCAGGAGGTCTGCCCAGCAATGCAGCAGAGAAACATTCACCCAAAATTCCAGTAAAGAAGATTCTTCCTCCACTTAGAAATTCCAACCAACTTGTTGTTTTTCAAGGTTCATCTTTATAAAAGGCCAACAGAATGGGTTGGGTTACCCATCAGACCCTTCCCCTTATACCTTCTACCCTGTGGAAAAGCAGCCCAGCTATCTGACACATGGTCTTCAATCCAATCCTACATCTTACCAAATTTTCCAGCTGGCTTGACAAGAGTCCCCAGAGGTTAAAGGATTTACCCCAGGTTACAGCGTGAGTCAGTTGCTCAGCTATGTTGTAAAAAGTTGGGTTTATTCTGGTTTCCAGACTTTCTCTCTAACCATCAGACCACATGGTCTCTTCTCTGCTATAGGATAGGCCTGTCTGCAGAGAAATGGGATTAAGTCATTAAAGAGTGGTTTCCGAAGTCTGCAGAAGCAGCAGCAACAATGGCCATTTCTACATTACATTTTAAGAATGCTATTTGTTTTGGCAGCCCAGCCCTTTATTACACATTCCTACCACTTAATTGTCCTTGCAAAGGTAAACATGAGACCTTCCTTAGGAAGGCTGGAAGCTGCCTAAGAAGCAGCCAACTTCTTTCTCAATGTGGGAGTAAACTCCATACATCCAGCAGCAGGCTGAAAGGTGGCCCCTTCTCCTCTGGGTCATTTGTTTCCTGCGCTTCTGTACCCATTCCCTGTGAAACTCCAAAAGAAAAAAGAATCCCACAACTGTTATGAGTTGCTGCCTCTCTCTTTTCCATTTCCTCTGACCTTCAAGATTTGGTTCATGGAGGCTACAGGACCAACATTTTTTCTTCTTCAAAAGTAACACAAAGCTTTCCTTTTTATATTACCATTGCAGTGCTGAACAGGGTCATGGAAGCACAGATTTAGAGCTGGAGATCAACCAGTCCAGGGCTCTTAACCCTTTTGTGTATATGTCACAAACAACTTTGGCAGTCTGATAAAGTCTAGGGAATTATGTTTAGTTGGTTCAATGGGTAGAGTGCTGGGCCTGCAGTCTGAAAGACTCCTCTTCCTGAGTTCAAATCTGGCCTCAGATACTTCCTAGCTGTACGACCCTGGGCAAGCCACTTAACCCTGTTTGCCTCAGTTTCCTCATCAATAAAATGAGCTGGAGAAGGAAATGGCAAACCAAGGAAATGGCAAACCACTTCAGTATCTTTGCTAAGAAAACCCCAAATGGGATCACAAAGGGTCAGGTATGACTGAAAAATGACTAAATAATGACAATAATAAAGACATAGGATTACAAAGGGAATCAATTATGGTGAAAAAAGAGAGGTAATTATTTTTATGGATACCTGAAATCTATCCACAGGCTCCTCCTTTCTGCTCCTCAGGTTAAGATCTCATTCAACACTCTCATTTTGCACATGAGGGAACCAGGGTCTGTGGAGGTAAAGTCACTTGTTCAAGGTAGCAGAATGCAGGATTCAAGCCCAGGTCACTGGACTTCCAAGTTAATGCTTTTCCCACTGCAGTGTAGTTCTGGACTTGACCCAATTTCAAATTCACAAATACCTACTAGTCATGGGGATCTGGGGAAGTTCTATCACCTTACTGAACTTCACCTTCCTTAGTGTAAAATGAGGATATTAATTAGGGCCTTGAAGTAAATTACCTGGAAATTCTGAATAAAACACTTTGCAAGCCTCAAAGTGCTTATAATTGAAGGGATTGGATTAAATGATCTCTAAGATCGCTTCCAACTCTAAATCCTTATAATTATTATAATAGGAAACCATAGTCAATGTTAATAGTAGTTAACATTTATGTAGCATTTACTGTGTGCCAGGCATGTTACTAAGCCCTTTATAATTTTCTTTTCATTTGATCCTCACAACAACTAGGAGGTAGGTGCTATTATTATCCCCATTTATTACCCAGAGTCAAATAGCTAATAAGTATCTGAGGCAAATTTGAACTCAGGTCTTCCTTACTCCAGATCCTGAACTCCAGCCACTGCACCACCTAGCTGCCCCTATGTTGTCAGAGATACTAAGCCCCACACTTAGGTGACTAAACTCCATATAAAATATAAATTCAATAGTATACCCCTACCAACCCTCATGATATAAGAAACAAGAAGCTACAAAAATACAGATATGCAGATCACTGTCCCAGGTCTTAGGAAGTAGAAAACAAGCCATAAGTAACACAAATAAATTGCAATAGTAGAAAAATGGCACAACCAGAAGCTTACACTCACAGAATGATAGAATCACAGTGTTGTCAGGGATCTCAGAGGCCATCTAGGCCAAACCCTCTACAGTATACCCAGCAAAAGGTCATCTGGTTGATGACCTCTGCTTGGAGACATCCAGTGAGGAGAGACCCTCTGCCTCCCAAAGCTATCCATTCTACTTTCTTTAGGAAGAGGTTCCTTCAACGGAGCCTGTCCGCCCTTCCTAGTTCTATTGTCTGGGGCCAAGCAGAACAAGTCTAATCCCTATTTTTCTTGGTAGAATATCAAATAATCGAAGACAGCCAAAATCCCCCTTCTACCTCTCCCACCTCAGTCTTCTCTTACTTATTCAGTGCAGTTCAGCTCAAATCAATTCATTTACTGAATATTTATTATGTGCAATGCTCTGGGCTAGGCATCAAGAGAGATGTGGAGATAAATAAAGCAAGGTTCCTGACCTCCCGGACTTTTCAGTGCTTACTGACAGCATCTAAGAAGTTTTCAGGGAGTGGGAGTGGAAGCTGCAGAAGAAGCCAACTTCTTTCTCAGTGTGGGAGTAAACTCCATACATCCAGCAGCAGGTGAAGGGCGGTCCCTTCTCCTCTGGGTCATTTGTTTCCTGCTCTTCTGCACTCATCCTCTGTGAAACTCCAAAAGGAAAAAGAATCCCACAACTGTTAAGAGTTGCTGCCTCCCTCTTCTCTATTTCCTCTGACCTTCAAGAAGATTTGGCTCATGGGGGCTACAGGACCAATATTTTTTCTTCTTCAAAAGTAACACAAAGCTTTCCTTTTTGTATTACCGTTGCAGTGCCTTATTCATTTATAACCTGTTTTGTGCTTTTCTTTTTTCTTTTTTTGTGTGAGGCAATTGGGGTTAAGTGACTTGCCCAGAGTCACACACCTAGTAAGTGTTATGTGTCTGAGGGCAGATGTGAACTCAGGTCCTCCTGATTCTAGGGCTGGTGCTCTATCCACTGCACCACCTAGCTGCCCTGTTTTGTGCTTTTCAAGGCACTTTCATGCCTACTGTCTCCAGGGATCCTCACAAGGATCCTATGAGCAGAGCCAATAATAATATCACATTTTGCACATGGGGAAACTGAGACACAAAGGGGTTTACTGACTCTTCTGAGGCTTGAAGTAGAATACAGACAACCTTGACTTCTTATTAAGGATTCCTTCCACTGTACTTCACTTCATCCAGGAAGCAAGAAGCTGTATAAAGGAAAAATGGACAGGATTTAGTGAATTTTGTGGGAAAGGGAAGAGCCAAAGGCACCCAGATTTCATTACTATCAAAAGCTGGTCTATAACCCCAGTGGAAAGACAGGAGCCATTTTTCAGTCAATACCAGCAAGTTGAAAACCATTCCCCAAATGCAAAGTTAATTCAAGGACTGCTGTTATTTTTTAAAAAGGACCCCTAAAGTATTCAGCAGACCGTTTTACTATAAAAGGAGATAGTTTAAGGTAACAGGAGCTTAAAATTCATTAGAACCTCATTTTTACATGGATCAGATTTAGATTCATATACCATTATGTTCACCTTCTCCCTACATAGAAAAGGATCACAGGATCTTGGAGATCAATTACTTAACAAGCATTTTAAAAAACCTCTCCTATGTGCCAGGCATTGTGTTAGGTGCTTGGGATACACAGAAAAAAATGAAGCCTTCAGAGAGCATGCACTGCATTATGGGAAAAAACAGATGCTCATGTAAATAGATGCAAAATGTATGCAAAGTATGAATGAAGCCTGCCTGTGAGAGAGATTTGGGGAGAGAGATTGACCTTGACTGCCAATCTTGCCCCTCAATCCTTTTTTCAAAAGGGAGAATACTGGAAAGCTGTAAAATACACTGGCAGAGAGGCTATCAGAAAATCTGAACTGCTCCTTCACAGTCCGGTGGACATGGAAATGATAATGCCTAAGATCCTTTGCTCTGGGGGCACTGAGAGATGGCTCAAGACACAGACCAATGCAGGGACCTCTTCTTCCTAATAAAGCAGGTTTTCCTCCTCACATTTGGCTGGATGTGCTAGATTGTCTGCTCTTAATCTATTATTTCCATCGAGTATTTACTTGCTATAAGCCATTGGCCAATGAAAATGCTAAGATATGTGTATTTTTATTTAAGACGTAAAATAGAGAGAGGATAGGAATAGAGTGTTTATTATTTTGATGCAGGGGTTCTTATCCTGAGGTCCATGAACTTTTTAAAAAATTATTTTGAGAGTTCCATTTCAATTAATTGGTTTCTTTTGTCCTATGTATTTTATTTTATTTTAAAAACATGATTCTGAGAAGAGGTCCATAGGGTTCAAATTACTGTAAAAGGGATCCACAACACACACACAAAAAAAGATGCTAAGATCTCCTGTTCTAGGAGGATAAAACTTTGATCAGTTGGGGCTGATCTGGGGGCTTGAAGCTATTTGGACAAAGTGAGAAAGTGGTTTTAGACTAAACATGAATGGCATATGAATTTATTAATCAAATCCTCCTAGAAATAAATTATAAGTTGATAAAAGTAGAGGGCTTCAAAGTAAGCAAACATAGGGTAAGCTTGTTTTCCTTTTCAGAACACTAGCCACCATTTTTCACAGACTCAATTTGAAAGGAAGGACACACCTCTGAGAAAGGAGATAAATTTTTTTTTAAAAAGTTGTATTGACAGTAAAGAGGGAATTTTCTCCTCCTCCAAATTACTGTCACTTTAGCCTGACTTGCTAGCTAGCACCATCTGCTTTCCACAAAGGGTATTTTTCAAAGGAAGAGGGTTGTGAGAAGATCCTATCAGCCATGGGGATTAAGAAAGGCTGACATGATGTAAGGAAGAGTCTTTGAAGGAAGCTAGGGATTCTAAGAGATGAAAGTGAAGAAGGATTATATTCCAGACATGAGGGAACAGTCTGTGCAAAGATATGGAAACCAGAGATAGAATCACATGCACCAGGGATGGCAAGTAGGCCAAGTTGGTGCCCAGTGAGTATAAAGAAGAGTAATGAGTGTAACAGGACTTTGATGAATATCTAAATCACCTAAGATGAAGGAATCCACATGGGAGATGCCCAGGACCTGCTTCTGAGAAGTAAGGTTCTGAGCCAAAATTCTGACCCAGTTCTTCCAGTTACAAATCCAATGACCTTTAAAGCATAATATTAGCTGATTAGCCTATACAGTATAGCAATCATGTTAATCCTATTTCAGGGCTTTTATTAGAGATAAAATGGGATAACATTTGTAAAGAGCTTTGTAAACCTTCACACGCAATATAAATGCCAGCTCTTATTACTATTTTATTTGACTCAAATTTGCCAAGGGCTATAATTTTCAAGGCAGCTAGTTGGCTCACTGGATAGATTGCTGGGCTTGAAGTCAGAAAGACCTGAGTTCAAATGTGGTCTCACATATTCACCAGCTGTGACCCTGGGTAACTCACTTAACCTGTTTGCCTTAATCCACTGGAGAATGAAATGACGAGCCACTCCAGTATCTTTGCCAAGAAAACCCTACATGTGGTCATGAAGCCAGAGATTACTGAAGAGTCAGACTGGACTAAACAACAACAATTTCCACATATCTTCAAAAGAAGGGAAAATAGATCTAAATAGCAAATGAGATAACCTTTCTCTTCTTATGGGAAACATATATAACAATGTTATTTGTTATTCAATTAATTAGCATAAACAGAGACCATAGACATATATATTTTAACATCCACTATGGTACTCAATCTATTCAAGTAGCCCTGACATAGAACAATTATGATATTAAATTTATACCTGCCTATTAGAGTACCCTGATTTTTAACAAACTTTTCTTGATGGTGATAATGTCTTTT